CCCTCCTGGCAGCGTCGGGCATCAGCTGCATTGGTTCTTCCTGGGATTTTGTGGGAGTATTTTGTGAGCGTGTGGCATTTCACATCATCCACCCCTCACACGCTGTGGATGTGTCTGCCTTTCATTTTCATGTTCCAGCTTGACGAGGCTTTCAATTTCTTCTTTCCCCGTCTGTTGTCAGATTTTCATACGGTGTCATGTCTCTCATGTCTCTCAATGACTCTGCTTCTCCATTCTCCTCCTCTCTCTCTCTCGCTACTGGTTGCTGAATCAATAATTTCATTTCCTGGCTCTCACTTTGTCTGTGTCTGTGTGTGTGTGTGTGAAGAGAAGAAGAGCTGACACGCCTCTTGGGCGTCATGTCATCCTTTAATTCGGAGTCTTGGACTCGGTGCGTTGCTCCTTTGATTGCTTTAATGTGAGAGTTTGGCCCATCCTGCAGCGGTATTTAAGGTATCACCCACCCCAACCCCACCTGAGCAGAATCGAGTCCAATGAATGCCCAGGGTATCAGCTAGTCGACTTAAATTCTACATCCAGCTGCTGCTGCTGCTGCTGCTGTCCCTTTTAAACCAATAACTTCATTTGCCGGAAACTTTTTAATATGGCCATGTAAATATATGCACAGCGATGCTATCGGACAATGGAGCACACTCTGGCAGAGCGCGAGGGAAGAGGAAAGAGTAGAGAGAGCGAGAGCGAGAGCAAGAGATGGGAGCAGCAGCAACTAAATTTTATGCAATTATAGTAGACATTAAATTGATAAAGTGAGCTGCTGCTGCTGCTGCTGCTGCTGCTGCCGCTGAGACTGCCTGCCACGAGGACTACTCCACCTGCCCTGCCCTGCCCTGCCCTGAATATATATTCTCTATGCTCGTACTATTTACATATGTATGTACGCATGTCTATAGCCACTGGGCAGCGTTCAACATGAAAATTAATTACCAGTTTGTGCATAGAAATGAAGCAAAAGCCACAGACCACAAGATACTTTTCGCTTTCGTTTTTGATTATTTTTATTCTGATTTTTGCAGCTGGCCCAAGAACGGGATGAGGGCGAGGCACCACCTCCAGTTGGTATCGACAACTGTGCGAAATTTCATAAATTTCACTGGCGATGCCAAATTACAAAAAGAGAACAAAAATCTGGCATGCCAGGCCAAAGCCAACAAAAAGTTGAATCGTTAAAAAGCAAAAAACGGTCGAAAAAAAAACTTTTACAAAAGGCATTAAAAATTACAACAAAAAAAAAAGGAACGCCCAAAATAAAAAAAGGAGAAGAGAAACCCCCAAAGAGAAGATGAAGAAGAAAACGCAAGTGTGCTAGAGCAGGCTGGTCAAAGCAAAAATTATATTTTACATATATATATTATATATATTCCTTCTCCCTCTCTCTCCCCGTATGGTATGTTCCATGTTTCACCTGCCTGGCCCCAACACCCACGCCCCCCACCGAGGGCTAATAATTCTCTTTTACCTGTGCGGTTCGGGTCAAGTTTTATTTCATTTATATTTATATACTTACATACATATTTGTATACCTACATACATATATATATATTTATTTATTCTTTTGGACTTGTTGTTTTTTACCCAGCACAAAATGTTAATAATTGGCTTGGCTGTTCAGGGCGGAAGGACCTTACCATAAATTGCTTGGGATATTATCGTTCCTGCCACATCTCGCACTGCCCACCCTCTCTCTCAGTCTCTCTGTCTCTCTTCTAGGGTCCCTCTCGAACTCAGAATTGATTACAGTTCATTTCATTTTGGCTTTGTTTATTTCCCTCAGCTCTCTTTTCATTTTCCAGCCCCTACACGGCTCCCCCCACTGCCCCAACCTGCAGCAGCATTGATATGGCCAGCGATTTTTCCATTTCAATATTTATTTGTGTGAGTTATTATTATTATTATTGCCGCGAACCGAAGTCCTCCGTCCTTCGTCTACCGTCCGTTGTCCGCTGTCCGTGGTCCGCTGTCCGTGGTCCATGGTCCGAGCGTACTCAAATATTAATTTCGCGCTTTTTTTCCACTGCTCTACACTGGTACGGGCACGGGCACGGGCTACTCCCCAGCCTCTTCTTTTGCTCCATCTACCGCAGATTTGTATGCGAATTTGCATTTGTATGGAACGTGGCACTGAGCAGAGTGCTCCCCCGTTCCAGTCCCTGTCCCTGTCCCTGGCCCTGTAGCTGCCCGCAATTGAATCATTTCTGTGTGAGAATTTGGATGCTGTTCAAATACTACTACTGTAGAATTCTATTCAAATAGAAATTGTGTAGCAAATTGTTGAACACTCTCAAACAGATATTTTTCTACAAAATTTGTAGACTTAAAAAAAAACAACTATTTTTAATGACTTCCATATGACTGTCGAGCATCGGACCTGTTCTGTGACTTGGCTGCGATTATGTTAGTCATATTTTACCACTGCCAAAAGCTGTTTAGTAGCCCAAATATAGGATCTACAGGACAGGATATATTAATCGTATTTATTATAGATGAATTTACATACATAGCTCCGCTCAGCATACGCAAATTGTGCAGCCTAAAACTGAAACTGCAACACACCACAGACACAATCCGCAAATACAAGACTAAATACTACTCGTACTACTCATGTGCTCCATTCCACATTTGCAATGGGGTTTTGGGTTGTGTTGTTCGCTGGCATCCAGTAAGTGATGCTATAAGCTGTTATATGGTCTGTTCATTAGCATTATGAGGCATATCCATCCCATTGCTGTGCATGTTTATCTTCAATTATGTGCTGTGCGAGCTACTCACTTGATCTGCTCTGCAAACTGACTGAAATGCATGGCCAAATGAAATGTATTATGGCCCACAACAGTATGCACAAAATTTTCAATTAAACAGCAGCAGCAAACACACAAAAAAAAAAAAAAATTCAATTAGAGAGTTTTGTGCAAATTTCATTTCATCGAGTGGGCAAAAGTGTGCAAAATGAAAATGAACGAACCCCAATACCCCATACCCCATACCATACCCGTATTTGGGTGTCCGAGAATTATTTGTATGGTTTTTGCACCCCCAAAAACCAGCAAGCAAACCGCTCGTTTGGCAACTGGTGTGGTGTGGCTGGGGGGGAAACGAATTTTAATTGGAGTTTGTTGCTGTCGGATTTAGTAATTCTTTGTTGGTTTTGTTATCGTATTGCTTTAGCCATTGTTCTGCTGGAGGTGCTGACTGGCTGGCTGGCTGGCTGGCTGGCTGGCTGGCTGGCTGGCTGGCTGCCAACCTTGCTGATAAATGCGCATTATATTGAATAAGCAGCGGCGATAATTGCATAAGTTTGATTAGTTGCTCGAGCTGATTTAATAATGCAAAAGCCACCAACACATATCCACCACACATCCAGCGAGCCAATTAACGAATCATTAATATTTGATATCGGATAACATACTATACATACATCTACATATGTATGTTTGCACTCGACTCCCCCGTTTATTGAATCGAGTAAACGGAATTGAGCTGTGAATTAATAAGGCATCAGCTAATTGATATTATCTCTCCTCGGGGGCAGGATTGGTAGGGAGCAATACGAGAAGTATATGTGGCAGATGGAAGGATGCAAGAAGTTCAATTGGGTGGAAAATGGGCTGCATTATTCCTGCGTAACCCACACACATCACTGGAAAGCTGCTTGATGCGGTTAGCTTCGGGTACATTTGTAAATAGATAAATGTTCGATATTTGTAGCTAAACAAATAAGCACAGCATATCCATAATAGTTATATGTACAACTAGTTGTACACTCCATAGATAACTGCACAACTATTGTGGTTGGCTCGCGACTGCCATCTCTAGCTTAAGCACGAGCATGTCTGCCATCTCGCTTTGCCCTGCAGGCTGTACGCACAAGCGCTCTCTGAGCGAGCGCAGCGTGAATTATTCTGCCAGCTTCTCTGCCTCTCTCACGCCTACGCTGCCAGCGAGCAGCGCAGCTAAGCGATCAACGAGACCAAAGAGAGACGTGAGCAGACATGCTCAGACTTGTCTCATTATCGCGTTACACTATTTACAGGCATTCCGTTTGGATAACTCGCTTTGTGTGTGGCACTTATTCAACACCTGTAGCTCTTGTTTCGCCAGTGGGAATATATGCAGCACTTGAAATTCATACTCATCCACTTGTATTCCCCATCTGGTCCAGCCCTTCCTCTTTTTTTTCCACTCACAATATTATCCCGAAACTCCTCCTCCAGCCCCTCCCTTTCCAGCAGCGCCTGATGATACCTTTTCTAACCAAAAAGTACAGTCAACATTTGGAAAGTTTATGCGACTCAGCGGCTCATTTAACACCGAAGACGATTTAATCCCGACCTCTGCCTCCGCCTCTGCCTCCGCCACTCGCTTCCTTCCGCTCCTGGTGGCAACTGATTAGTAGTAGATTGTTGTTGTAATTAATAGATGGGGGATGGCCCCGGGGGCATCGCTTATCGTGCAACACCCACCGCCGCCCATCGCATTAGGCGGTTGCCTGGCAGCGGGTGGTGCGGCAGTTTCCGTCCCTTTACGTAACAGAAATCTGTCATAAATGGCAGACCAGAGAGCAGAGCAAAGCAGCAGGAAAATGCAAATCACAATGGACCTTTTTTCTTTCATTTTCTTGTTATTTTGATTTGCCTTTTCTTTTTCGGTTGTTATTCCCTTTCTTTCTTCCCCTTTTTCCCACCACCCTTTTTTTTTTTTTTTTTTTTTTTTTTGTACTCTTTATCGATGTCGTTTTTCTCGTTGTCGATGTCGTTGTTGTTGGTGAGGCCACAAATATGCGCATAATTAATTTGCCGGCTGCTTTTTTCGGGCTTTTCTGAGTAGATTAAATGGCATTTTGTCAAAGTGTATTCTGTATTTTAATTAACCTCCACGTAACCATCCCCCGCAATTGTCCGTGGCGACGGTCCGGCCCTCGGCCCCATTCATCCGCTACCAAAAAGGATGCTCAAGTCTCTTGAATACTTAAGTTGTTTTCTTACCGAATCCTATTGTCCCGTGGTCGGCACTCAGTATCGACGCTGTTTCCGCTCCTTCCTGTATCCTCTTGAAGCCTGTCGAGGCGGCTCGAATCGAATTCAAGTAAGTAATGCCAAAGTATTTAGTCTGCAAAGAGAGCAACAAGCAAATGGAATTCTTCAGTTTATGGCAGTCATGGCAGTCACGGCAGCCAGGGGGCAGTCATCATAAAAATTGCAAACAGATCTGACAGGCATTTCCCACTAAAGCATGCTCTGACAGGCTGCCTTCCACGTTTCCTCCTCCCCCCCGGGATGCCGGAATCCCAGGTTCCCAGGCTCCCAGTACGAGGACTGTGGATATGAGGGCCAACTGACAGCTGGCGGGGCAGTGAGAGCTTCTTACGTCACTTCAAGCTCAACTTGTTCTTAGATTTTATGCCCACGAGTTGCACTACCCCGTGGAGCTCCTGTGATACAGCTCCAGCTACAGCTACAGCTCCTCCCATTTGCTGGCTACATTTTTTATGCCTGCCCCACCGTGTAGCATGTAGCATGTAGCATGTTGTACATCCTGCATGTCCTGGCATGGATATACTCGTACTTGTACGCGTATTTATGCATATCATATTCTGTCGGTTTTTTGTCGGTTCTTAAATATTTGATGCAGCCCGTGGCAGCCATAAATTAAGCGATCCAATGGAAGCATTTAAATTCCAATGTCGTACAGCCCCAGCCAATTAATTTCAGCCCATGAATCTTTAACTCCCCTTCCCCTCCGCAGCATTCTCTTTTTTTTTTTTGTGAGTCAGCTCAATGGATGATCCGTGGCTTTTTGGGGGCGGGGTGCGCGGTGCGCGGTGCGCACTGTAGCATTGGAAGCGGCTAACAAGTCTGATCCCTGAGCTCTTTTTGTTCGGGTCTCGGCCATTGCCTAATTGAAAAATAATCCCACTTTCTATGGATGCAGGCGGTGGGGCCACCACACTGATGACTGGAACTTTCCCCCCTTCGTTGCACACAAAAATGGTTGCATTTTTGAGTTGGTAATCCGCTTCGACGCAACACCCACCCACAAATCGGAATAGAAGAGAGAAAAATTGCAACAAAAATAGAACGAATTCAGCATTTCCCTTTGGCTTTTTGGCTTACCCCAAGTCCAAATACCTTGCCTAGGACATGGCACATGTCTCTGAGCCTCTTAAAAGGTTACCAAATGCAATGCCAAAGATAAAAGCCAAGTTGCTGTTCCCAATCAGTTTATCATTCACTTTTCGTGGAACAATCAGCAGTACTCATGGAAACCTTTGATTTATGCATTATTTTTCACCATTAGATTATTATGCCAAATGAAATCAAATTAAGCTAACTTCATTCACAGAGCGGGGGGGAGACTTTTGAGCCTCTGCAGAAAACTCTCGGCTATTTATGAAAGATGGATATTTATAGCGATAGGGGGGCGCGCGCTCTGCGCTATTTCTGTCTGCCCAAACTTGGGCTCTATATCATGTTGCTGTCAATGGGGGCGAAAGAGGGGGCGTAAAATTCGTAAGAAAAAGACGCTGCACGATGTCTTGGCGAGAAGCTTCGGATGCTGTGGCCCACTAAATCCACTTCTCATCTTCCCTAATTTTTCTCTTGTTGCTGCTGAACGTTGTCCTGGTTCTGGTCCTGTTCCTGGTCCTGTTTCTGGTCCTGTTCCTGGTCGTTGTGCAATAGGAGAGCGCCGCGCCCGAAGTGCGAATTTCGCGTAAATAAATTTAATATCTGGCACAATCTGCAGCGAAAAACAAAGCCCCCTGTACATACACACACACACACACACACACACAAAAAAGTAAAAGATACACCCAAAAAAAAAAAGAAGAAAATTGGAAAGAGATGCGCAAAAAACTGCGTCGGATGCCCCATCGGCAAGCGATAAAAGAGAGCGCCATAACTGGAGTCGAGGAACGTAAACGAATTTGTAACTCGATGATGTCGGCATCGCGTCTCACTTTGTGTGTCGTTTCCCAATTTCATTATGCAAAAATCCATTAAAAAAAAAACGACCAAATAGAAAGCGCAACACAAATGACTTAACAAAACATCGCCAACAGAATGAAAATACAGGCAGGCAGTGGACAACGTGGCTGTGGCAGGGGCAGGGGCAGGAGCGAATATCGAATAGCGGGACGAAACGGACAACAACTGGTGCTTATTTATCACAGATTTCCATTTCGCAAATAAACATTTCGGATGGATTTGATGATGCAAGTGACGATGACACAGAGCCATCAATGGACGTTGATGATTGTGTAAAAATATTACGCGCTTCGTTTTGCTTTGTTTGTTTTGTTTTCGGTGCTAGTGTTCTAGTCAATGCCAAAAGCCTTCGATTGATGCAACTGAACTGAAGACTAACTTCAGAGTGGTTCTTTGGTTCTTTGGGTTTCTTTGGTTCGCCATTTCTCTGATATTGAATATGTTCCAGCAGCAATGATAATGACTGATAAAAATAGGTACGTACAATTCCCACAGAGACCCACCCACCTCCCATCTCTTCTCGTTCTTTATGTGCTTTATCGCTGAAACTTTTCCAAGTTCTGGCTGGTCATCTGTCCTCTCCGTTCGCTGTCTGTCCACTCTGTTCGCTGTTCGCTGTTCGCTGTCCGCTGCTGTCGTGGCAGTTGCTGTTGTAGAACATTTTTATTGCCTATATATTTATCTGTCCAGACTGTGTGCCGGTACCACCCAACCACCCATCGCTCTCGTTGCCCGCTGTTGCTGCTGTTTGACTTCATTTCTTTCAACTGTAGAGTTTTTATGACACTTTTGCGTTTCGCTGCTTTGCTGCAAATATGCAAATGTCGAGCATTCCAGCCCCCACCATCCCCTTCAGCCAAAAAACACGAACAGGCTCCCAAATAAATTTATATGAAAAATGGCCATGTTTCAGTTTTTCACGCGGCAAAGTAGGAAACGGAGGGCGGACACGGGACATGGCTGTGGGTGATGTTTGATGGTGTGCGAAGCAAAAATATTTATGCAGTTGGCCGTGGGGCGTGTTTAAAAACTCAAACTGATGAGTGCAGGGGAGGGGACTCCTTTGGATGATACTGCGCGGATGGTGGTGCTTCGACTGTTCGACTCTTTTGGATGGCTCGAAACTTGAGCGTAGATAAAAGTCATAAAGTTTGTCGCCAGCTTCCGCGAGCAGCTCCTGCCTCAGATAGGCGGCTCCCCCACCCCCGTTATAGATCCTGCGCCCAGACGTTGCTCCCATCGTCAGCTCCCTCTATGGCCTCTTCAGTACCATCCAACCAGTACCTCTGGTTCCGCTGGCAGACTCTATGGCTCCAATGGCTCCTTCTTGAGCAGCTTCTAGAGCACCTACGTGCTTTTGGATTTTGCTGGTTCCGGTGAACAGATTTAAGTGCAAACTTAAAGAGCTCCTCGCTCCGAGCCTCATCGTTGTTGCCATGGAACTGCTTCGATTGCTTAAGCTGCTTTTAAAGAAAAAAAAAATGGTAATAGAGTTCAGCAGTTCATCCGCCTTTATTGATCTATCTGAACACAAGCAAAGAACAAAGAGCCTGCCTGCATTTCGGTGGACACATCTCTGATGAATTGAGCCAGCAATAGAATAGATGAAATATATTTATTCTAAAGTCCTTCTTTTTGGCACTATGCGAATTTCCATTTGCTGTCAAAATTTGTTTGACTAAATGCGAATGGGGAAAAACAGAAGCTGCAGCCAAGGCAAGAAACCAGAAAAGGTAAAAAATCAAATAATAGAAAAAGAAAACTCCGCCCTCCCCCCCCAGCCAACAAGAGCTGTGAACTTTAATTAAATATCAATTTCCTTTGCAACATCCGATCCGTGTCCGTGTGGGTCTTGTGTGTGTGTGTGTGTTTACTTGTGTATTAGTTGGTCTTTGATCTGTCAAATGGCAAAGTCTAACCAAAGAACAAACACACACACACACACATACACATGCACACCAACACAAAAGTGGAAAAGCCACAGGAAAACTCATTTACTTGACCAGCCACGCAGTTTTCCACAGAGCCAAAGAGTGTGAGTGAGAGAGCGGGGGGGTGGGGGATTGGTTGGGAAAATGAGATAGCCGTAATATATGCAGCACTCGCACATATCGGGGCCCCCCACAAGATATATGATGGCAAAAGTTTTCCCTGTTTTGCTGTTTGCTCTGCCCTTTGTCGTTTGTCGTTTGCTGCTGCTGCCGCTGCTGCTGCTGCTCGCAGGCAAATGGCAAAAGTTTGCTGCCCGATGAGATCTCTCTCTCACTCTCTCTCACTCTGTCTCCCTTTGCTATAACCATCTCTTTCTATATTTCACTCTCTGTCATGTTTGGCATTTGAAATGCTAATGGCAGCTGAGCTAGAGACAGAGACAGAGATTCTAAGCTTTCAGGCCGGGCTCATAATTGAATGTTCGCCCAGTGCAGCAGCAGCAGGAGCAGCAGCAGCTTGGGTTGCCCTTTGTGTTGCCTACTTTTTTGGGCACCAGCAGCGGGCTAGGGACTTCTGCTGGGGTGACCATACCCAGAGGGACCAAGGACCAAACTGTTGGCTAACTAATTTAAATATCATGAATTTAACATATTTATATACGAGAAATAAAAAAAAACTCAGCCTCCAGAAATATAAATAGAAAGGGAGACAGTGAGAGGGAGAGAGAGGGGAGAGAGAGGGGAGAGAGAGCGAGTGGGGGAGTGCACAAACTCCAGGGATATCTCATATTTCATATAAGCCCGATCTGGCGGGTGTTCTCCCTGCTGGCAGGCACCCCTTTTCTGCGCTGCGCTGCGCTGCCTGCTGTTCCCCTTGCCAAATTTGACTTTCTGCTCTTATTGCTGTTTGCTCAACAACATCAGAAGCAATGGGTGGAGAGGACCCAAATAAATGTGAACTGTTGGTCCAAATCTACATAAGCAAATAGTGCAAAACTTGCCCCACATATGTACATATGTGGCGGGGGGTTATATGCATGTATGTGTGATGGCTTCCAAGTCCATTGTACGTGCCCGATGCGACGAAAACAAAACTTTCAATGGACTGCAGGGAAACCCACAGACAAACATCGAGTTAGG